ACCTTCTCATCTGGACCAATTTAAGTAACTCTTTCTCCATCTCCAAGTGCCGATGTCTCAGTGTTTGGCTTACTGCACATGGAGCACATGAACTTGAGATTAAGAAGTTTGGTATCAAATTTGTCCCATGGGCTCTGTTAAGATATATGCATGAACACACACATTGTCCCTGCAGGTTATCCTCCCAATAATTTTATAACAGAAATATTAACTTTTTTGTTTTAAAGATGTGGAAACTGAGGTTTAAAGAGAGTAAATAACTCATCTAAAACCATAAGCCTAAAGTGACACTCTTATTCTCCATCCCTAGTAAGGACAGGCCCACCAAAACAAGGTCCCCGAGTCCTACTTTTTGGATGACTGATTTAGAAGGATCTGGCTCATTCACAATCTAAGTGAAACATGAAGATTCATTCTTCAGTTTCCCATCAAATTCCAAATGTCTCTAATTTTAGATGACAACTCCACTGCCTAGAACAGAAACCCACATCCCACGAAATTAGCTACAAGGTTCCTACATGGTCCTTATTTATAGTCTTAGCAATTCAATTTCTGAATAACAGCTGGGTTGTTATGCATAAAATACAGTCTTGGAAAGATAACAATCATGTTTTTTTAATAAACTAGATACAAAATTAACATGCTAATTTATTATAGAAAACAGATCCATTAATATTTATTAACAGAATGCAATGACACTTCTCACTGAGTCCTAGAATAGTCTATCTAACAAATGCTCATTAATGAGTTAGTCAAAGAAAATGACAGTAGTGTGTTAAACTTTCACTATGGTGTACCGCTCAATTTTAAATAAGGAAAACACTGCTTCCCTTTTTTCCTCCTCAAAGAACACACAACTTTAATGTGCCCCAAGGGTTCACAAATTTCTCTTTGTATGCTCACTGCCTAGGTGACCTCACTAAGTCTGCCAGCTCTAGCTACATCTTTGTGTCAATTACTCCAAAACTGAGATAGCCAACCTGGACCTCTCTTCCAACCTTCAGACTCAAAGAGTAGCAGAATATGGCATCCCAAAATATGCCTTTTTGGCACGAGGATTATTTTCAGAAATGGCAGACACAGGAGAAGCTGGGAAAACAGAGTAGAAATTACCCCTTGTAAGGGAAATTTACATATATAAAGGAAATCTCCATTTGCAAGTGTCTCCCTCTCTGTACCAGGATGATCATTCTAAATCAAAAGAGGATCTTATCAATGGAGAAGGCACCGATTTAAATATGTGTAACAGACCTTACCCTTGTTTACTGTGCTTTTCTTAGCAACCTCTCATAACTGGCCCCCCTCTCCCTCATTTTTCTTTTGTCTTTAGCTGAAGATGGTATTTAAGGTGGTGACTTGGGCCATCTTGGAGTTTTACCCATCTTTCTTGGGTATTTCCCATGAAATGAAGTATACATTTTAATAAACTTGTTTGTTTTTCTCTTGTTATTCTGTCTGTTACTGGGGGTCTCAGCCAAGAACTCAGAAGGGCAGAGGGAAAATTATTTTTCCTCCCCAAAAGACTCATATAACTAACTACCAACTTAACAGCCTAGACGGATGTTTAACAGTCATTGCCAAGATAGGTCCAGAAGTAGGTTTATGATATTCCCCCCAAAGCAGTTCCTCTCAGTCTTCTCCATCCCAATTAATGGCAACTCCATTCTTCTCGTTACTCAGCTCGAAACCCTTGAGTCTTTCCCACTCTGTGCCTATCAGCCTTACGTCCAACACAGATCTGAAATCTGACTAGTCTCACCACCTCCAACCAGTGCTAGCACCACTCCCATCTTTCCTGAGGTGTATGTAATAGTCCCCTAACTGGTTTCTCTGTTTCTGCCCTTATCCTCCTAATAATCTATTATCAAAACAATGGCCAGAGTAATCCTGTTGGAAGATAAACAGATCATGTCATTCCTCTGCTCTAACCCCCTCCTGGCTTCCCATTTGTGATAGTGTGATTTATAATAAGAAATATATGTTTTGGTCTCCACGGTTCCTGCCTCACAGCTCCCCAAACCCTTAGAATTTCCTAGATAAGAGCAGTGAAAGCATATTTTGTTATAATATTTGGTCTTTTGTCCTCAGTTCCTGAAAGAGCTTCCGAGCAGAACAACGTGAACTGGGTGTCTTTTGTTATTTGTAACAAACTCCGCTCAAGCATACCCAAGTTTATGTTAATAAGGGACTTCTGGAAAGCCCCTAAGGATGGGCTGATGGCCAGGGGAACCGACCAGATTAGAGAGTTGGACCTTTCAGTTCCACTCCCCATTCCCACCTCTGGAAAGGGGTAGAGTTTGACTTAATTGCCTGAATCGAGTAATGTAATCAATCTTCCCTCTGTAATGAAGCCTCCATAAAAAATCCCTGAACTAAGGGATTCAGAGAGCTTCCAGAGGCTGATGAACAAGAACACATCCATTTGCCAGGAGGGTGGTGCCCCCAAAGCTCCCGTCCTCGAGACCCTTCAAACCTCACCCTGTGCGTCTCTTCATCGGCTGTTCATTTGAATCCTTTAACATCCTTTGTAATAAACTGGTAACCTCATAAGTAAACTGGTTTCCTGAGTTCTGTGAGCTGCTCTAGCAAATTAATTGAACCTGAGGAAGAGCTCACAGAACCTCCGACTTCCAGTCAGTTATCAGAAGCACAGATGACAACCCGGACTTACAATTGGCATCTGAAGGGAAAGAAGAGGGGGCAGTCTTGTGGAACTGAACCCTTAACCTGTGGGATCTGATGCTATCTCCAGGTAGATAGTGTCAGAATCGAGATGAGCTGTAAGACAGCCGGTCAGTGTCAGCTAGGAATCTGGAGAATTGCTTGGTGGTGTTGAAAACACATCAAATCATCTCACACAAAGTCAAAGCTAAAGTCCATACAGTGACCTGGGTCCCACGCTGTCTGGCAGCACCCGCTCACCTCTGACAACAGCTCTACTGCTCTCCCCTCTCTGCTCCAGCCACACCAGCCTCCTTGCTGGTCCTGGGATACCCAGGCCCGCTCCTTTCTGCTTCCTGTTCTCTGCCTGGAACCCTCTGTCCCCTGATATGTCCCCCCTATAGCTCCCCCTCAAGCCGGCAGGTCTTCACTCCAATGCCGCCTTGGGGAAACCTTCCTATGCCACGGTATCTAAAATTACAACCCCCTCCCCACTCCACACAATTTCCTCTGCTCCCTCCCTGCTGTTTCTTCTTTAGCACTTACCACTACCTAACTGACTCATAATATACTTTACTTGTTCATCATTGGTTTCCTGGCTGGAACATCACCAAGGTCTGACTTTTGTCCACTTGTAGACTGCTGCCTCTCCTGTGCCGAACTCTGCCCTGCTCAAGCCTTAACTCCCAGGACCGTGGTTGGTATCTGAATCTCTCCCTCTCATACCAGAGCACCAACACAATCCCTCTAGCACTGTGGGGGAAGAAAAATTAACATGGGCATTACTGGTTCCTTTGTTTAGGCAACGTGCATTAACTGAGCACCTGGCACTGTCAGTCCGTCCACTGAGCCGAGCCAGTGCGCTTCGTTGGAGAGTTACCCACCTTGGGATGCCAAGGAATCCAGGGCAGGAAGTCATCCTTATCAGTAAACAGCTAGAACAGGTCAGACACTGTGTGCTTACCAAGAGCCATGGCCAACCTGTGCCCTTCACAACCACCAATAAACCAGGTCTTGTGTGCACTCTCATCCGTTTTGTTCTTTTAAAGATTGGCCCTGAGCTAACATCTGTTGCCAATCTTCCTCTTTTTTTTTTGCCTTGTCCCCAAAGCCCCCACCCCTACCTCAGTGATGGTTGTACATTCTAGGTGTAGGTTCTTCTGGTTGTGCTATGTGGGTGCTGCCTCAGCATGGCTTGATGAGCGGTGCTAGGTCTGATCTGAACCAGTGAGACCCTGGGACACCAGGTGGAACACACAAACTTAACCACCCTGCCACGCTGCCACCGGGCCAGTCTCAACCTGACGCATTTTAACAAATACTCCCACTTGAGCTGGGGAGGCTGAGCTGGGCAGCACAGCCTCACTGGGGCAGTCCCCAGTGCTGGGCTAGAGCAGCTGTGGTCCTTTCTTCTCACTTCCAGCTGCCCCGGTGCGCAGAGCTGGCCTGTAAGCCAGCCCATCTGGCCCCATGAGGCTCTTGGCTTAGGGGATTTTAAGTGCCCGCATCGCAGCTAACCTAGTGCCAGCCACTTAGCGATTTTTTTTTTTTTTGAGGAAGATTAGCCCTGAGCTAACTGCTGCCAATCCACCTCTTTTTGCTGAGGAAGACTGGCCCTGAGCTAACATCCATGCCCATCTTCCTCTACTTTATACTGGGACGCCTACCACAGCAGGGTTTTTGCCAAGTGGGGCTATGTTCGCACCTGGGATCCAACTGGTGAACACCTGCCCGAGAAGCAGAACTGCGAACTTAACCGCTGTGCCACCGCGCCGGCCCCCACTTACCGGTTTTAAAAGGTTTTCAGAAAGAAAAATACATTTTTCCAGAAACGACAGCTCTACGATATTCAAACAAAAAAAAGCGGGGCAGAGGGAGCAAAGAAGGATTATGAAAGGGAGGAACTATATATAAAAAAATAAATAAATAATTATATTGGCAAACACGTTCCTATGTACTATGTATATAGGACGCTCTTCTAAACACGTTTCGGAGATTCACTCAGTTAACGTTCACTATGAACTACAAAGTAGGCATTCATCACCACACCACCACGGCTGTTTTCCCGGTGAGTAACCAAGGCACAGAGAAGTTAAGTAACTTGCGGAAGTTATGGGCCTGTCAGGGTCGTCAGGCTTCGAACCTAGGCAGCCTAGCTGCGGCCTCCGTGCTCTTAGGACACAGTAACACATTTAAGAACTAGCACCGCAGCCCTGGGGCCTGGAGCGAGGCCCGGGGAGCCACGGAGCGCGGGCGGGAGGCGTGGGCGCAGCAGGCGGCGGACGGGGCCGGAGAAGGGGAGGCGGCGACGGGCGGGGCGCTGCCCTGGCGCCAGTCACCTGGAATTGAACTGGAATTCTTGAATCGTGGACTCGAGGAGGTCGAAGATCTTTCGGCACTCTGCTGTCTCGGGCGAGTCGCCCCAGCTCTCCATGGGAGCCCCGGAGGTGGCCGTGCGCCTCCCGCGGAGCTGCGGGATCCGGGGAGTCGGAGTCCAGAACCCGGCGTCCGTTGCCATGGCGACTCCTAGGGAACGCGCGGGCGCGGGAATCCGTGGGCCCTCCTGCCCCTTCCACCGCCCCCTGACTCAGGGCTTCTCGACCAGGCGCACTCTTCCAGGCTGCAGCTGAAATGTCCCCAAGAAAGCTAGACCTTTGTAGATAACCCTGGGACATTCCACTGCCCTCCCAACTCTCCTGCGTTCCTCCAAGGCCCTGAACTCTGCCTTAGTCCCCAAGGGCGTGCACGGCGCATTTGGGAGGCGTGGACTCCTGAGCTGCTTTCTTTCTATGTCAACACCCCTCCCCATGCGATGTTAGACCCCAAGCTGGGCCGCCCTCCCTTTGGTGGCCTCCTGCCCTGTGCTAAAGGTCACCCTCAGGGAGGATGAAAAACAGAGCATCCATCTAATAACGATGCTCATGAGATCATGAATGAGCTTTCGGCTCTCAGAGCAATGCCACAGTAAGAGGCAAGAGGGCGGGACGATGATTTGCTTATACCTGCCACTTAGCCACAAACGGAGGTGTTTGTGGACAAAAACTTCCTTTGCAGAGATTCCACAGGACTACATTCCTATTTAATATGAAGGTCAGAACTCAGGCGTTAGGTTTTAAGCTAACCGTGTAGTGTAAGATTCATTTTTTCTAAGTTTCTACAATAATAAGAGAAGTTTCTTAACAGTGACACTGTTGTCATCCTTTATTTTAAATTACGGATCACTCACTGACATTAGGAGACATCTGTTCTGATATCATCACTGTGTCATTGCCTGGTTTTAGAACTAAGCAAACTACATTTCCATTTCCATACATCGTCTACAGGAAAACAAAATATTTTCTTCTCTCACTTATGATAATTATGTGAAAAAGAAGTGAGTTTGGTATTGGAAGTTCAAAATACAAAGAGGAGATCACTGTAACATTATCCCTGCTCCTATATTTAACGAAAAGAATGAAACGCCCCAAATGTGAAACAAGAAATCCTAATCAATGCCAAAATAATCTGTGAAGGTTTGGTTTCCTTTGGGAAGGTGAAGAGAGGAGAAAAAGAGTTACTTTTACTCCATGGTGGTTTTTTATTTTCAAAATGTAACTTTTAAGTCAACTTAGGAAAATTTTATTGTATCATCAGAAAGTGTTTTAAAAGAAATGTATATAGCTATAATAAAGTGTCTTTTCTTAGGGGAGTTTTTTTTTTTTTTTTTTTTTTTACCACAGTACATATAAATTTTAAAAATAAAGACTAAATTTCCAAGTTAAGATAAAAAACCTGATCCATTTAGAAGCAGGCCAAAATAGTGAAAAGATGTGGCAAGCCGTTGGCTGTTTTGCTCACGCAATGCTAAATGAATATATTGAAACTGAGGAGTGTGAGCTCAGAGCAGATTTCATGAGTCATTGGTCAGCTCTGCGCACATTTGTTGACTGATATGGAGGGCATAGTTACACCATCCCACAAAAACGCATACTGAACAAAACCTCTTTGTTTGAAACCTTGCCATGGCACATGAAGGAGTTCCAGATTTCAGCGTCTGGGAGGCCAAGTTATGAAGATGATTGTTTTCAAACTATTAGCTACATAACACTCCTTTCCTTGTCAGTTACTGACAATCATCTCTCAGGTGTCCTGCCTTATAAATTGTTCATTTCAGATCCCCTTCTTGACTATAATAACTAGGGCTGGCACTGCCAAAGCATTCGTCAAGCGGCATCCAGGCCTCTTGTCTCACATGTTGAATTCATTGATGGTTTTTAGTGGAAAGCCCCTGAATGCTGGAGTAAACATTAAAAAAAAAACCCCACCACCTCTGAAACTTCCTTGCTTCAGTATTTTGGGGGAGTTATTTAACACCTCTGCGCCTCTCTTTTCTCACCAGTAAAATGTGGATAATGCACCCTTCTCAGGGTGTTTGGGAGTAATTCAGCGTGGTTGAGAGTAACCTATAAAGCAAGAAAAGCACACAGCGTACTGCATTATAAACATCAGGCCTTCAAGGAGTCCTTCCTTCTAGACCACAACTACCGAGTACACTGTTTAAAGCTTTCCATTTCTTCAAAGTTGAAAATTTCATAAGCTAAACTAATTTTAGTGCACAATTTTAAAATTTCAAATGCTTCTCTGAAACGTGTATAAAGATAATGTGTATTTATGTGAAAATATCACCTACCAATTATTAAAAGTGGTAACATCTCAGATTAAATAGCATGAGGATTTGATTAAGAGTCAAGGGCTGACTCTGAACATAGTAATTTGTCTATTCCAGTTGGATATTATCAGTTCTAGAGTCTAATAAAAGCCAAGAGGTTTCGGTGTAGGTTTGTAATTTAAATTCTTTCTCGAGAGTCATCATATGTAAAGTGCTTATTTTTCTTTTATCACCAGCTGTAATCTATGATTATGCGGTGCACGCTCTGTTATGTAAACTTGTTTCATGTCGTGCTTCATCCACAACCAAAGTTCTTAAATAAAGGGTTGGGAAAGGAAATAGCGAGGCCCTTGGCCTGGACAATATTACGCTACTACATCCTTTATGGAAAAGCTCCTGAGACTAGATGATTTTCGTGTCTTAACTTCTGCTGCAATGAGACAACAGATCCACTCTTGTAAAAATCCATCAATAAGCGTTTGTCACCTGGCTAAAGCTGAGGACCAAGATGAGAAGCACGACAGGGAGTTGGGGCAGAAGCACCCTTGATATGGAATTTGGATCTTACTGCCAAGTATCCTCGGGTGCTGTGGTAGAGATTTTCCTCTACATGGGGCTAAATTTGGGTCATCCCTCTTTAAAAGAGAGATCAGTAAAAATGTGAAGAAAGTGATACAGCTCAGCCAGCTGCAGAAGCGAGGCCACCTGAGGGAATATTGTAAACCTATTGTTTGGGGACTTTCGGGAAGTCTCCAGGTCTGGTGCAGTGACCAGAGTGGCTCTTCATGCTTGGAACATAACATCAGAAATCTGTGACACAGGCATTGCAGGATATAGTGAGGTGATTCGGGAAAGGTGGACATCTAAATGGAGAGGAATCAAAGGGAAGTTACCAGATTTCATGCAATCTAAGATTTCATCCAGAGATGTGAAAAATGTGAATCTTAGAATCTGTGAAATCAGGTAGATAATAAGAATTTATCAGGGCCGGCCCAGTGGTGCAGTGGTTAAGCACTCACGCTCAGCTTCTCGGTGGCCCGGGGTTCACCGGTTCGGATCCCGGGTGCGGACATGGCACCGCTTAGCATGCCATGCTGTGGTAGGCGTCCCACATATAAAGTGGAGGAAAATAGGTACGGATGTTAGCTCAGGGCCAGGCTTCCTCAGCAAAAAAGAGGAGGACTAGCAGTAGTTAGCTCAGGGCTAATCTTCCTCAAAAAAATAAATAAAGAAAGAAATAAAAGAATTTATCAAAGATCTTTTCAGGGGCTCCATTTCATCAGACCATCGGGGGATCTACTCTCATGAGAAGCGGAACATTCATCAGGCTTTTCCATAACTTGGACAAAGTACCACATAGGACCTTCTACCTCTCTTTGTTCCTTTTCCAGTGTCTCAAGGCAGCTTGCCAATAACTAACTCAGATTCTCAGGTACGTAGATTCCAAGAAAGACGTGATCTAGACAGCAAACATGTGATTTCAGTGAGCGTGAATATTCGCCTGTAGCCTGGCCTAAATGAACTGATGAAGGACAGTATTTAGACCTGCCTCTATGAGGACTAGACTCACAGCCAAGGTGTTCCCCACAACCAACCTCCGAGGCAGGCTTTGCCTGGACAGCCAGCTTGGCTCTGTCATTAACATCCTGTAACTGCAATATGAGGCACCCTTGATTGTCCTTCAGCTTCAAACTCTGTCTTAGAAATGTGGTACAAAAAAATTCTAATTTAGCAATTTTGAGAACTACGGGGGAACGTTAGACATAGGAGAATACAATAGCGTGTCACCCAGTAGTGCAACATCATTGTTACAATGTCTGTTTACTTACTTGGAAATACTTCAGTGTATGCTAAGAGGTATTATGTGTATGCTACATGGGTTATGCTGTAACCGAGCACATAACCAAGGGGCTGATCAGGAGCACACATCCAGGGATGGTCACCCACCGTTGCACAAGTCAGAAAGCCCACGTGGCGGAAGGGACTACTCCAAGCTCTGCTGTCAATGGTTCTAGATGAACAAGCCACACTGCGCCAGTTTTATACTGACTGTTAGCAATGGGTTTTTATTGGTGAATGTAGTGGCCTATTAACTAGCACAGTAGATATAGAAGTGGGCACAAACCGGGACCGGCCCTGTGGTGGAATGGTTAAAGTTTGCGTGCTCTGCTTTGGTGGCCCAGGGTTTCACCAGTTCAAATCCTGGGTGTGGACATGGCACTGCTCATCAAGCCATGCTGAGGTGGTATCCCACATGCCACAACTGGAAGGACCCACAACTAAAAATACACAGCTATGTATGGGGGGCTTTGGGGAGAAAAAAGGAAAAATTAAAAAAAAAATCTTAAAAAAAAAGTGGGCACAAATTGGTGAACTTAAAGATGTTCAAGATACATAGGTCAGCTAAAATAGTTCAGAAATCCTCCCAGCCTTGCAGGAACAGTATGCTAGAATCTCACAAAGGCTGTGACTCAAACTCTGAGGGATGGGGCTTGGCGCTTGGACCCTTAATATTCCTCTGTCTGTTTTGTCTTTGCTTTATAGTTGCCTGATACCTGTTAAAATGGCTTCAGGCCAGCCCTCGTAGCCTAGTGGTTAAGTTCAGCTCTCTGCTTCGGTGGCCAGGGTTCAGTTCCCAGGCACAGACCTACACCACTCGTCTGTCAGTGGCCATGCTGTGGTGGTGGCTCACATAAAACCAAAAAGAAACTAGGAAGATTGGCAGCGGATGTTAGCTCAGGGTGAATCTTCCTCCGCAAAAATAAATAAGATAAAATAAAAGGACTTAGGATCTTGCTTCTGAAACGTTATCACACTTGCTTCAAAGGAACCGTTCACCGCTGGTGGTAGTCAGAACACCTAAAAAGAAGAAGGGTGTGACTTCGTGGACCTCACCAAACAGGTTGCATAAACTGTTTGGGGTCTGCTTGCTAATGAGCATTTTTTTTTAAAAACAAATGTCTGAAACTTGCTTTCATTATAAGCTGAGAGCAAGTTTGTTGGGAAATCACTGAGCTTTACTTTCATCAAACTTCTTTAAAGGATACAGCATCTACCCAAAGAAACCTAGGACTCGCATGTGACCAAATTAGGTCAGTTTTCTGGGAAGCCAGAAGAAATAATAAAAGCTTCCTTAATATACCTGATTTTGATGTATAAAATATGTCTCTCTTTTCTATAATTAATTTTTTATTGGGGTAGCATTGTTTTACAACATTACATACATTTCAGATGTCCATCATCATATTTC